GATGCACTGCATCCGAGAGTGCTAAAGGAGTTGGTGGATGTGATTGCAGAGCCATTGGCCATTCTCTTTGAAAACTCCTGGCGATCGGGGGAGGTCCCGGACGACTGGAAAAAGGCTAATGTAGTGCCCATCTTTAAAAAAGGGAAGAAGGAGGATCCTGGGAACTACAGGCCAGTCAGCCTCACCTCAGTCCCTGGAAAAATCATGGAGCGGGTCCTCAAGGAATCAATTCTGAAGCACTTAGAGGAGAGGAAAGTGATCAGGAACAGTCAACATGGATTCACCGAGGGCAAGGCATGTCTGACTAATCTAATTGCCTTCTATGATGAAAGAACTGGCTCTGTGGAGGAGGGAAAGCAGTGGATGTGTTATTCCTTGACTTTAGCAAAGCTTTGATATGGTCTCCCACAGTATTCTTGCCAGCAAGTTAAAGAAGTATGGGCTAATAGAAAGCTGGCTAGATCGTCGGGCTCATAGAATCATAGAATATCAGGGTTGGAAGGGATCCCAGAAGGTCATCTAGTCCAACCCCCTGCTCGAAGCAGGACCAATTCCCAGTTAAATCATCCCAGCCAGGGCTTTGTCAAGCCTGACCTTAAAAACCTCTAAGGAAGGAGATTCTACCACCTCCCTAGGCTCAACAGGTAGTGATCAATGGCTCCATGTCTAGTTCGCAGTCAGTATCAAGCAGAGTGCCCCAAGGGTTGGTCCTGGGGCCGGTTTTGTTCTATATATTCATTAATGATCTGGAGCAGGGGTCGGCAACCTCTACAAGTGGTGTGTCGAGTCTTCATTTATTCGTGTGCAAATAATACATTTTAACGTTTTTTAGAAGGTCTCTCTCCATAAGTCTATATATTATGTAACTAAACTATTGTTGTATGTAAACAAGGTTTTCAAAATGTTTTAGAAGCTTCATTTAAAATTAAATTAAAATGCTGGTCTTACACCATCAGCCCGCTCAGCCCGCTGCCAGCCTGGGGTTCTGTTCACCTAGGCCGGCAGCTGGCTGAGCAGGGCCTGCAGCCGGGACCCCGGCTGGCAAGGGGCCGGCAGCCAGAACCCCAGACAGGCAGTGGGCTGAGTGGGGCCGGCAGCGGGGACCCCAGTCCAGCAGTGGGCTGAGCGGCTCAGCCCGTTGCCACTCTGCCCGCTGCTGGTTTGGGGTTCCGTCTGCTGGCTCTGCCGGCTCCTGCCCTACCTTCTCCCTGGTTCTGGCCCATTTTCTTCCTCTCTCTGCACTGAGCTGAGGGTGGGGGTGCGCTGACAACAGGGCTGGGGGTGAAGGAGCAGGCTGGGGTTTGGGGTGCGGGGTCTGGCCAGGAGCTAGAATGAGGGAGGGGACTCAGGGTTTGGGCAGGAGGTTTGGGTGTGGAGAGCTTACCTGGGCAGCTCCCATTTGGTGCGAGGGGTGCAGGTGGGAATGTGGGGGGGGAGGTGTGCAGGAGCTCCCGTTTGGTGCTCAGGGTGGGGGTGGGGATGTGGGGGGTGCAAGAGTCAGGGCAGGGGGCTGGGGTTGTGGGGGGGGTGCCAGAGTCAGGGCTGGGGTTGTGGGGGGGGGGTGCAGGGGTCAGGGCATGGGGTTGGGGTGTGTGGGGGTGCAGGGGTGAGGGCAGAGGGCTGGGTGTCTGTGACGGGGATGCAGGGGTGAGGGCAGAGGGCTGGGGGTGTGTGAGGAGGTGTCAGGGGTCAGGGCAGAGGGCTGGGGGTGTGTGAGGAGGGTTCAGGGGTCAGGGCAGAGGGCTGGGGGTGTGTGAGGGGGGGTGCAGGGGTCAGGGCAGGAGGCTGGGGTTGTGGGAGGGTGCAGGGGTCAGGGCAGAGGGGTGTGGGGGGTGCAGGGGTCAGGGCAGAGGGCTAGGTGTGTGTGAGGGGGGTGCAGGTTAAGGGCAGAGGGCTGGGGGTGTGTGAGGGGGGTGCAGGGGTCAGGGCAGAGGGCTGGGGGTGTGGGCTGGGATCGTGGGGATGCTCCCAGCCCCCTGCCCTGAGTGGCTCATTGCAGGGGGCTGGAGGAGATATGCTGATTCCACCCCCTTCCCCAAGGTCCCCAGAGCAGAGAGCGTCCTGCGGCTCCGCTTTTCTCTCTCCCACTCCCTAGCAAGGGCCGTCAGGTGATTGGCCGCAGGGAGGGACAGAAGGAGAGGCAGGAACCCTGCACGCTGGGGGAAGGGGGGGGGAGGGGGAAGCTTGCCTGCCCTGCAAGGAGAGAGCGGTGGGCAGGGGGCAGAGAAGAGCGGACAGGGCTGGCCAGGATTTTTAATGGCACATTGCTCCTCTTTGGCACACGTGCCATAGGTTGCCAACCCCTGATCTGGAGGATGGTGTGGATTGCACCCTCAGCAAGTTTGCAGATGACACTAAACTGGGAGGAGAGGTAGATACACTGGAGGGTAGGGGTAGGATACAGAGGGCCCTAGACAAATTAGAGGATTTGGCCAAAAGAAATCTGATGAGGTTCAACAAGGACAAGTGCAGAGTCCTGCACTTAGGACGGAAGAATCCAATGCACCGCTACAGACTAGGGACCGAATGGCTCGCCAGCAGTTCTGCAGAAAAGGACCTAGGGGTTGCAGTGGATGAGAAACTGGATATAAGTCAACAGTGTGCCCTTGTTGCCAAGAAGGCCAATGGCATTTTGGGCTGTATAAGTAGGGGCATTGCCAGCAGATCGAGGGATGTGATCATTCCCCTCTGTTCTACATTGGTGAGGCCTCATCTGGGCCCAGTTTTGGGCCCCATTTTGGGCCCCACGCTACAAGAAGGATGTGGAAAAATTGGAAAGCGTCCAGCGGAGGGCAACAAAAATGATTAGGGTACTGGAACACATGACTTCTGAGGAGAGGCTGAGGGAACTGGGATTGTTTAGTCTGCGGAAGAGAAGAATGAGGGGGGATTTGATAGCTGCTTTCAACTCCCTGAAAGGGGATTCCAAAGAGGATGGATCTAGACTATTCTCAGTGGTACCAGGTGACAGAACAAGGAGTAATGGTCTCAAGTTACAGTGGGGGAGGTTTAGGCTGGATATTAGGAAAAACTTTTTCACTGGGAGGGTGGTGAAGCACTGGAATGGGTTACCTAGGGAGGTGGTGGAATCTCCTTCCTTTGAAGTTTTTAAGGTCAGGCTTGACAAAGCCCTGGCTGGGATGATTTAATTGGGGATCGGTCCTGCTTTGAACAGAGCGTGGGACTAGATGACCTCCTGAGGTCCCTTCCAGCCCTGATATTCTGTGATTCTCTTGCCATGGTAGGGGTCTCAACACTGACGCACCTCATAGAATATCAGGGTTGGAAGGGACCTCAGGAGGGCATCTAGTCCAACCCCCTGCTCAAAGCAGGACCAATCCCCAATTTTTTTGCCCCAGATCCCTAAATGGCCCCCTCAAGGATTGAACTCACAACCCTGGGTTTAGCAGGCCAATGCTCAAACCACAGAGCTATCCCTCCTCCTTCCCACCTCGCTGTCTCCTGTTTGCTCCCTGTGGCATAGAATGGTTTGGGGTCTTGTGGGCTGTGATACTTTGGTCTAATTTTGGTAGTTGTCAGAGGCACGCACAGGAATTTAAATTTGACCCCTTTTGGGGGGGCATGGAAGCTAACTGCCTCACTTCTGCTCCCCTGGCCCCAGGAGGAGTTTGCTTTCTCCCCTCCCCATGGGTCCCGGCAGGAGATCGATCTTCTCTCCCTCCACCCTGTCCCAGCCCCAGCCCTGTCAGGAACTTGATCTTCCCTGCCTTCGCAGCTCTGGTGCTGGAGAAGTTCTGTGCCCCTGCCAATTATTGGGGGTCGGGGCTGTGCCCCTGCTTGCCCCCCCCGTGCACGCCTTTGATAGTTGGGTTTAGTGGGCAGGTGCTGCGTTGTGTCTGTGGTCTGTGATCTACAGGTGAACCTGGATGAGCTAGTGGCCCCTTTTGGCCTTAAGCACTATGATAATATGGGAGGTCTGGGACAGCCTGGGAGGGCAAAGAGGTGATCTCAGCCTGGCTCCTTCCTGTTCTCCAGAACAGAGGGTCTGCGCCTCTGCTCATCTGGGTAGCACAAACCTATTCACTCACTGAGGATGAACATCTCTCCTCTGCAATGGCCAGCACATGGTTTGTGCATCGCTTAAGCCTTCAGAATAGGACTGATGATGATCCTCCGTACCGGGGCATTTTCTTGACAAGTTTGTTCCCTAGTCCAGGGGTGGCCAACCTGAGCCTGAGAAGGAGCCAGAATTTACCAGTGTACATTGCCAAAGAGCCACAGTAATGCGTCTGCTACCCCCCATCCACTCCTCCACCCGCTCCCAGTGCCTCCCGCCCACCAGCAACCCTGCCAGTCAGCGCCTCCCCCTCCCTCCCGATCAGCTGTTTCATGGCATTCAGGAGGCTGGGGGGGAGGGTGGGGAAGGAGTGAGGGCCTGGCAGACTCAGGGGAGGGGGTGGGAAGGGGTGGAGTGGGGGCAGGGCCTGTGGCAGGGCTTGTAGCTCCAGCCTCAGAGTCAGTGTCCATACAAGGGAGCCACATATTAACATGTGGCTCCGGATCCCCAGATTGGCCACCCCTGGACTAGTCACTGGCATCACCTATAAATGGGTAAGGATGTGGTGCTGTAGTGTACTGGCTTTTGGAGTCTGTATGGGGGATGCTGCCCTCTAGTGGCTGGCTACCACTTCCATCAGCTTTTGAAGTTGCCTCTCACACAAGTAGCAGAGAGTTAGATGTTTGGGGTGGATGGACCAGGGTTCTGATCCCCACTCCCCAGGCATGTGTCGCTTCTGTCTGCAGCACATCACTTTGTCACACTTACAAATGGTCACTCCCCCATTACTCCTCCAGTGTCCCAGAGGTTCTAACAGTTCCTTTTCTTTGGATCTCATTCCATTTAAGTGTTTTTTGGCTCCAGGAGGACTCTGTCTTCATGTTAGCAGGAAAGGTTTCCCCTGCCTCCCCCACAAGATCAGCACCTTCCTCACAAAACTACTGTTGCCCAGTCGAGACAGTAAAGGCAGACAACAGTGCAGTACATTCAAGTTATACTTTATGGATATTCAAAGGAAATAGATCTCTCATAATAAGTTTACCTCAGAAACTTTGCTGTGGAACACCAGCAGGAATGATACAACGAAACGTGAGAAAATACAGACCTAGTTCTGCTCTGCACAAGAGGAGATGTGATCTGACTCTTCAATATGATGCATAACTTAAAAAAGGAAATAAACAGAACATGCATTTATCAAAGAATTCTGTCCCGTTTAGGTAAAACCTTCCAGGGATCCCAGCTGAGAAGATGCAGTTTCAGTCTTTTTATTTATTGTTTGTTAGATTAGGAGGCTGCAGCTATCAGGATCCACCGTTACCTTGAAGCTGTGTAGTTGGAGGAGCTGTTTGGATCTCGGCCATGAAACATGGTTAAAGCATGGACAGGATCCCAGAGAGTGCAAAGGAATGCAAAACCAGGACAAAGGTGCTCCCAGTTTCCCCTGCTGCCACAATAGGAGGAAGTCACAGCTCTGCAGGTGAAATGCGGGAGGGAACTTACAATGACTGGGATGGTGGGGAGGAGAAAAGCCTACCTGGCATTATGATGAAAGGCAGGAAGTCCCACTGACTGCAGTGCTGCTGGGGAGGAACTCAGCTTAGCTGGCTGAGAGGCAGGAGTCCCTCACTTTTGCCCCAACTATTCAGCCTTTCCAGAAGAAGAACTTGCATCTACTCAGCTAATGGGCACTATCTAGCTGGTGCAGTGGGGCGGTAGCTATCCACAACAGTGCTGTCTTTGAGGGTGCTGCCTCCCCTTGGTGGCATGAACACCCCCGGCTGACCCAGGCAGCCTGGCATAGGAACTGTTGATTTCCATTCCAGTGCTAGTTAATAACTTCTGGTGTCTTTGACTTGATCCCTTGATGCTGGGCAGGCCCAAAATCACTGCTCGTGGCTCTGGTGCATTCACATTAGTGCATGGTCACCAAGGAAACAAAGTTGTCACCAACAGTCATGCACCAGGAAATTCTAGACTGATGCACTCAGAGTGGAGAAGGGCGTGAACCAAAACCAGGGATCAGCATGCACAGCTGGAAGTCTCTTTATAATGGGCCCCACCTGAGCACCCTGTCATCTGGGGAGGTTTCCATTCAGCTCTGCACATGGAACCTCCATCTTTGAATCAGGGGCTTGGGTTGCCCTGTTAGAGAGATAGGATGTTTGGATCCAAGGATGTAGTTCTGGTCCATCTCTCTAGATGGCAGCAACACTCAGTGGTAACCTGTGGTCAAGGACAGAACATTCCAATCACCCTCCATAGCAAGGTCATTTCCTCCCTCTGCTCCCCATATCGTAAGGTCAGAGGTCTTTTCTGTAGCCACAGTAGGACAGTCGCAGTCATGAGCTAAGAAGCAGAGAGTCACATCCTCACATTTCCTCTAAATTACATCAAAACAATGTCATATCGGGCTGTGAAGACTGTGCTCCTGTCCTAACAGTGCCCACCACCACCAGATAAAGAAACAGAGCTTAAAAAGTTTATAGAAAACTTTGTTTGACAGCATTCTGCCTGGCAAGGAACCACTTCTCAACAGTTGTGATTGTGAAATCTCTACTTCTATTGTTTTGCCTTTACGGGCCCCACTTCTCTATTGTTTATCTGTAGGGTCTCTGTCTGGTTCTTTGATCATTTCTGTCTGTGGCATAACTAATTTTGCAAGATTTAAATCAACTCAGGCGCTGGGGTCTGATTGAGTAAAGAATGGTTTCACAATGGGCTAGGATGGGTAAAAATACTGTCTTATAACACTTCAGTTTACAGTGGTTGGTGACGGTAGAGCTAAGCAGGACTCAGGTTTCACTATATAAACTGGGATCCAAAAGGAAGTTCTCTAGCACCCAACTCCAGGACACAGCCCAGGATCAGAGCTGCCAGACCTCAACACCTGCCAATCATACTGTGCAGAAGCTCTAGCTCCAAATGACCTGATCCTGCCTGGCCACCAGGAAAAGTTCATCTGCCTTATTGGGAGTGAGGAGCACTGTCTGCTTAGCCTGTGTGTTCTGTTTTGGTAACTTAATAAATAGAGAATATTACTGTGCAAGGCTCCTTCACTGGAAAAGGCCCTGCAGACCCGCAGAAGATTGTGCCCTGAGCCCTAAGAACTGGGTAAGGATGGGGGCACAGGCTCCAACTTTTGTTGGCACCGGTGGGTGCTTGCACCCCCCCTCCCCCGGCCTGGCCCCGCCCCAACTCCACCCCTCCCTGCCCCTGTTGGATACCTCCCCAAACCCCTGCCCTGGCCCCGCCTCCTCCCCCAAGCGTCTCGCATTCCCCCTCCTCCCCCCTCCCTCCCAGGCTTGCCGCGTGAAACAGCTATTTTGCGGCGCATGCGCTGGGAGGGAGCAGGGAGAAGCAGGACCCAGCGGCGCGCTCAGGGGAAGAGGCAGAGCGGAGGGGAGGCAGAGGTGAACTGGGGCAGGGACGCGGAGTCGGCGCCTATGGATGGGGGTTCCTATATTACATCTTGAGCCCACGGAAGTGCCTAGAGTGTGTGGGTAACAGAATTGTCCGGGGGAAAGGTCAGTTCTCAAACTCCCTTCTCCATTTCACATGGCCAGTAACTTGTCAGCAAATCGGGCTTATGCCCCCGGTCTACAACAACACCCCCCATTCACCTCAAGGAAGGCTCCAGGCACAGATCCCAGGCCACCTGTGGCTCCAAGATTCGGGTGTCAAACCCTAACACCCCTAGCATGAACCCCAGGGAGTTGAAAGGGCCAGAATCATCAGACTTGGCGGGGTCAAACTTGGCCACAAAAGAAGGGCTGGTAAGAAATGAGCATTGGTGAGATGGCAGAGGACTGGGCAGTCCCAGGAATGACAATGAAATGGACTGGTCTCGAAAGGCCGGCACATTTCCTTGGCAACCCAAACACAACAGCCCTCAGCTAGAGCATGGAAACTGACACTGACCAGCAGGTTCCATGGCCTGTGCTGAAGGGAAGCAAACAGCATGGAGAGTGAAAGCTTTATGATTCCCTCTAGGTCAGCGTTTCTCAAACTGGAGTCCGTGAGGGTACTCCAGGGGGTCTTCTGGCCCCGCTGATCAACTCCTGCCCCTCCCTCTCAGTGCCTTCTGCATGCTGCAGAACAGCTGTTCCACGGCATGCAGGAAGCGCTGGGAGGGAGGGGGAGGAGCGAGGATGGGGCATGCTTGGGGGAAGGGGCGGAAAGAGGTGGGGAAGAGGAAGGGTGGGGGTGGAGTGGGGGTGGGAAGAGGTAGGGTGGGGCCTTGGGGGAAGGGGTGGAGTGGAGGCAGGGCCTGGGGCTGAGCAGGTAACTTGTGGGTCTGCAAAAAATTTTAAATCAAAATGGGGGTCCTTGATTTGCTAAAGTTTGGGAACCGCTGCTCTAGGTAAAACTCCCCAGTGCTCCCTGTAACACAGAAATGGGCACATGGTGTTCCCTGGGGCAGCTCCTCATCTGGTGTAAGTCAGCGTCGCTCACTTGACATCGGTCTGAACAGAGCCACGCTGACTTAGGGCAGCTGAGGGTATGGGCTGGGAGTTCTAACCCGAATGAATGCAGGAATTTGATATAATCTCCTTGTTTCCAGTGTTTGGCAGCCGATCAGATTCCCTGTACTGCTCTCTTGCTGCTCTCACATCTCTCTCGCATTTCAAATGAGACAGAACTTGGTGATCCCTTCTCTTGTTGGCTGAGGCAGCACCAAAAGGCGGGGCAGCTCTCCTGCCCTTGCTCAGAACTCAAGCCCTAATGTAATACTGCTAATACATATCGCTAAGCAAACATGAACAGATCTTTGCAGCCTCCACAACCCCTCAGAGATAGATAGGTGATTTTACCCCCAACGCATGGGGGGAAACTGAGGCACAAAGTGGTTAAGTGATTTGTCCAAGGTCACGCAGTGCATCAGTTTCAGCTCAGGACTTAGAACTCCAGAGCTCCTGACTCTGTCTCAGCCGCACTTTCCCGCAGCTCACATGACCCCTGTCAGCAGCTTGACTAGGGGCAGCCCTGGGACCAACTTGCAGGCCCCAGTCTGCAGAGGGAAGGGATGGGCTAGAGGGCAACACACTGTTACCCTGTATCTGGGCCAGCAGAGCGCCCTAGAGCAGCAACCTTGCAGAGGCATCAGGGGCTCCCAGCAGCAAAAGGGCAGCAGTTCCCATGCACTGGAACCTGCCCAGCTCCTCTCTCATTCATCTCACTCAGTCTTGGGCCAGTTCACACCCAGCACAAGCTAGCTCAATGTCGCTGAAGGCAATGGACCTGCACCTGCTGCCAGTGGGGTTGAATTTGGCCCCTGACTGAGTATGCCTATTGCTGCATGATAGGTCTCCTGCCGCTGGCTTTGCATGCCAGCCTCAGGTGCTCACTGAGTGTTGATCCTTGTGCTCTCCCACCCGGGTCAGGTTGGAGCAGAACACGAGCTGTTCTGTTCAGAGGGCGTGCACTGTGCCTGGGGACAAGGGGTGAGTGGATCTGCCAGGGGGCCTGTCAGCAGCTCCCTTTTGCTTCCCTAGGAGGCAGCAGCTCCAGCGTGCACCCAGAAGGGAGGGCTCTGAGGAGAGTCGCAAGAGATCCCAGGTCTGGGAACCCCGCTGCCGGTGTGGTTAGTCTGGAGTTACACCAGGCTGGCTTGCCTGTGCTCCCCAGTGGGGAGATGTATATGCTTCTAGAGCAGCTGAGCAATGAGAAGAGGCAGGTTATGGCTGGATGGGGCAGGGTCTCTATGATATGGGATTAGTGGGCGGAGCAGCCTTCCCCCCCCAGGGTGAAGGCAGCCCAAGTGCTAGGAGGCTGGGCATGGCCACTGCCTGGCTGCTGGCCGCTGAGTGGTGTGAATTGGTCTTGTGCTCCTAGCAGACAAAGCCAGCCACCGTTGCAAGTCATTAGTGCCCCTGCCTGATACCTTAGCAGAAGAGCCAAGGACAGAATGGCCAGTGGAAACCAACTGCACCTCTGCCCCCTAGAGAGGGGCTCTGCAAATCCGGGCGAGGCACGTGAACAGGGCAGCATGCGTGCGATGCACTATGCACACGTACTGCTTGGAGTGCCCGCTAGTAGCAGTTCTAAAACTATTACTGTTGAGTACAGCAAATGCATGGTCAACTACACTACCCAGAATCCTCCTGGGGAAGATTAGTGTGACTGTGGGGACAATGAAAGCTAAAGCAAGGTGCAGTACGGGCAGCACCCCTCGAGTTCTGGGTCATGCCCTTGTGTAAACACATCCCCCTCTACTGACTGATCCACTAGAGGACAACAGCCTCCTCCTGCAGCGTACTCCTCCAGCTCAAGTGGGCAAGGCTTGTGGGTTGACTGGTCACACCCCCTGGTCACACCCCACAGCGGAGCGTGGCGGGGAGGAGTCATTACTTGGCCGGGGGAAGTCTGCATGGTCAGGGCCTCGCCTGGCCGTGGAGGGTGGCTGCATTCAACTCTCAAGCCGGTGTTTTCAGAAGCATGACCTGGTGGCTGCGCACCGTGGCCCAGCGTCTCAACTTTGCCGCACAGGAGCTGGGTGCAGCAGGCAGGGTCAACAGCGCCTTGGGTGACTGGGACTGGTGGGTGCAGCCCAAGGTACCATAAGCCCTGCCCGCTCAGTGAGGGGACCCCAGGAGCCAGCCAGCTTCGTCACTGGGCAAAGAATGAAGAGCCATGGCCCGCAGCCAACTGAAACCCCAGAGGTGACAGCAACAAAAAGCCAACCCCGCTGGTGAGGTCAGGGCCCCAGAACTCAGCTGATACCGTGGGAGAATGAACAAACAAATGGGGGAGGCCACTCCAGCCTACCCAAACCTCAACCAAGGGGGTGGAGCCACAGAACCCGGGACAATGAATGAGCAACTAGGGGCAGGGTGCAGCGCACCAAGATAGACAGCCCTGGAGGCTGCACCCCCAATCTGCAGGAGGATGCTGTTCCACAGGGCCCCTCTCTGGGGTGGGGAGGGCAATCCAGCCTCTGTGAGCTAGTCAACCCTCAGCCTCAGACCATGCCAGCAGAGGGGTCACTTGGTGCTTTGGTTTTAAGCCCAGCGGATGGAACACTGTAGCCAAACTCTGGACTTGGCATCACGTCCGGGTTGTTGGAGCCCCATTGCATGAAAAAGACGGCCCCCCACCCGCCCTTCTGCCACTACGTCCCCATCCACCTGGAGAAGCTGAGAGCTCCACAGAAAAGATGCCAGGGAGAGGGAAAGCTGCTGGCATGGCACCTGTGGCTTTGCTGGGTGATTGCACAGCTGAGAGGT